AAAAAAAAAAAAAAAAGAAAAAAAGAAAGAAAGAAAGAAAGAAAGAAAAAAAAAGAAAAGCAAACAACTTGTGTTGTCATAGATTCATGCGCAAGTGCTCTGGTCGTTTGGAAATCATGGGAAAGGCTTGTTTTTTATATGGCCCGGAGTTTGGTTGTCGTATTGGAAGTGGTGCCGAGGCTTCCCCACAAACTGTCACATCCATTTGTTCTATTCCGCTGGTCTCCATTGGATACTCCACAGGCGTCTGAGTGTTTGATGCACTGGCTGAAGCACCTCTTCCCCAGAAATCCCCAGGGGAGAACTTTACCGGGCTTTAAAATAAGAAACAGAAATCACTTAGAGCTTAGAGACATCCCCTTTATACTGCAAGCAGAACACAAATGTTTCTTCAGGTGTTTTTCTTTTTTTCTTTCCAATTCTCGTCTGAGAAAAGCATTTCTATGGCCCTGCTCCTCCCAAAGCTCACCAGAAAGTAGATGCACTGATACATTAGGCTTTTCTCATTTGGCATCTTGCACATAAAACGATTATAAATATGTTGGAGAATGAGATTTAGCACTAACATTACTTATCTTTAACAGTGCAGGGAAGCATAGGGGGATGAAGGGCAGTTTTAGAGAATGGTGTTTTGAAGTCAACAGAATGGCAGGACATAACAGTAACGTATACCTAGCAAATCAGCGCTTCCTGTGATGCTAACCATCAACATGTTTGCCCGGAAGCAGGCTGCTTATAAAATGTGCTGGGCTTTTCGATAAGCACACAAATATTTCCAGAAGAAAGGACATCTCTCACTTTTAATGCAGATAATCTGACTACTCACTGAAAAATTAAAATAAGAGCAAGTACCTGACTGGTGTCCTAGGGCTACCAATAAATCTGCGAGGTGATCGAATTTTTGGTTCAAAAGAAAACTTCTCTTTTACACTTTCAAGTACAGATGGAGCCACATACGTAAAACCCTGTAAAACAGGACAATTTTGTTGCAATTAGTAAGGAAGGTAAATTTTTCCATGATAAGCAATAATAGCAGCTACACAAGTAGCGATGTATCAGCTATGACAAGAATGTAAATGTAAACGAGAGCAAGGACAGAGACACTGCTGAGCCTGTGATCTCGGTTATAGACATCATTCTCACTGCACGCCTATGGAAGCAATACGCTGTCTTAAAGGACTCCTACCACAGCTCAGAGGTAAAGTTTGCTAAAAAACAAGACCAAAAATTCTCCTTCTGAAATCTCAAGTCTTAACACTAGATGTAGAGGAAAGCACAGAAAAAACAAGAACACACAAAAACATATCAAAAGGTAAGCAAAATGACCTAAAATAAATTAATAAACATTTCAATCCTTCTGGAAGGGATAATATTTGAATACTACAATGAATAAGAACTGGTTTGAAATACGTTTCTTTCGGGGCGTGCAAACGAATTTGCTTAAAATATGCTACGCTGTTTCCAAGTAACACACAAGCTCACTTACCAGAAAGACCTGGTTGGCACTTTCACTGAGAGTTGAGTCATCTGGGCTATCAACAGGTGTCTGACGTGTAAACTTTGAATCAAACTGGCTCACATCCTCTTCGGATTGCTTTGCAAAAACAAAATGATTAAGGGTTTATATTACAGATATCAACCAAATGGCTTAGCGGTGGTCAGTGAAGCCTCTGGCTGGAGTTCATTCCATAAGTTTTTGGCAGAGCTCTGCTGTAGTAAAACCCTGGAGTGGTTTCGGAATCCTGCCGCTGCCAGTGGGAGGTCACTATGGGCACTGACACTGAGAAATAAAGGCAAGGAGGAGGGGCAAGAATTATGGATCAAAAAGGAACAAAAATTAAGAAAATGCCTTTAAAAAAAAACTCTTTACAACAGAAGCGTTCAGACACATTTGCCAATGTCTTGTGAGATCTTAACACTGGATCACTCCCAGTACAGAACAGTTACACCAGTTAGTTAACACAAGTTTCATGCTCTAAATAAATAATCCAGCACATTTTTATAGAAGCAATAGTGTTTAGGGACAGGGAAGCTCCCTGAACTAATATGACTGCCAAGAACCCTACACTGTTCAGCTTAGAAATGACCAAATATAGCTCAACGGGCTTGTATCTTCTTCACACAGCCGAGGAAGCACGATTGTTACGCTAAAGCAAGACTTTCATTCTGATAGTCTCCATGCAACGGGGTACTCAAGCTTTTAGCTGATTAGATACACATTTTAGAGTTTGCTATATTTATACAACACAAATTCAGTTCTCGCAGTTACTAGTTTTATATAACACCAGCCTTTCAGATCTTGAATTTCAGTTCAACATAATGGAGACCTGCATCCCACTCACAGCAGTGTCATCTTGATGTTAAGCTTAAATTACGAATTGTCCATATAGTGCTTTCCAAGTATATTAATATGGTAACATTCAAGAAGCTAAGGGCAAGTGATCCGGTTCACATTTTGCATAATGACTATTCCAAATTACACTTTTGGCCTAGTATTAACTGCATTTGATACTCAGAAGCAGAAATTCAGTAAGGAGAACTGCATTCTTATGCAGATAAAATCCTGCAGGTTACAAATGGGCAGAAAAGTTTAAGTGGAACTGCTATTTCTTCAAGAATCTGGGGTAGGGGAAAATAAGCAGTAAAACTAAGAGAAAAGAGTGAACTAGTTCTGTGCTGGTTTCCCAACCCTGCTCATTTAAATTAGCAATTCTCCAGGCCCAGTAAATAAGGTACAACAGGGCAAGACAGAATAGCAAAAGCAGGAGAAACTGTCACGATATCCTGTGTCCCTAATACAACAGTAAGTGCCAGTGAAACAGCTGTCTCAACACAAGGCCCTGTTTCTTGTCCTCAAAAGAGCCCTATGAAAAGTTCTAGGACATACGATTTCCCCTATATCTCACTCCAATAGCAATATTAGGTCCAAAAACACTTTAGTAAAGTATAATTTAAGTGTGCAACTTTAGACATCATACAGCAGGGGCTCAAACCATAGTACATCCGCTTTTCTGATTAAGAATCCATTAACAGTAAAATTTTACAGAAGACTATGGCAAGTACTTTTGTTTCAGACCTAACACAGCAGAATATAAAAAGTTTGAGAGCTGCTGCTAAAAAGTCATATACGGATCAACTTACAGCATTACTCTTACGTACCAATAAGGGTTTGAAGGGAGGTTCCACCTTCCGTGCTAGCAGCTCGTCCCAGTTAATGTGTCTGAAGAAAGGGTGAGCCTAAGAAGATTAACAAAACCGGAGAGCCATGAACTGGGCTCCCTCTTGTGTAATCCCAACACATTCAAAAGGATAAGTTACTCACCTTGCAGAGAAGTTCATAAAACCCATTAAAATGAGAATATCTGAAGACTTATGGGCAATGTTACTAACAGACTTCATTTCCTGTCTCTCCCCACAACCCAAAGAAAGTTATTCATATTATACCTATACTGTTGTACCAGCATAGCCGGAAGTAACTTTGAACCGATGATAAAGACAAATCCCAAACTTTTTTCAGAAAATCATTCATGATCCTCTCGTATCATTCATGAAGAAATTCAGTCCTTCGCTGTGTACAATGCTCAATTATACATGAGATTAAAAGACAATGACAGTTAAAGGTTTAAAGAGGGGGCATTTTTTTTTGTCCTGAAAAATTAAGAGTGCCCCGTTTGAGAATGTAAGGATGGCCAACACTGAATAATCTGTGGCAATTGCAAGGTACTTCTGTCAGTAAGCTATTGAGCTGCTGGGATTGGTAGAATACTGTCATTTATCTAAATCCCTGCCCAGGATCTCATTAGGCTTCAGAGAAAAATCAAAATGCATACTTGTCCTCGTCTGTCCCTCCAGACTATGCCTTTGAACTTTTTTTCTAAAGAAAAATTAAGCAAGTCACCTGAACTTCTCCAGCATCTCCAGAACCAGCTCCTAGACGTGAGGCAGCATTTCTTTTTAGCAGCTAAATGGAAAAGAAAAAAAGGTAAAGGAAATAATTTATCAAAATAACTAAACAGTGTGTAAAAATATCTTTTTTTTTTTTCTTTTCTTTTTTTTTTAAATCAATTACACTAACCCCAAGCTTCCCCTGTGAACAAGCAGCAAGGTAATATTGGTCTAAACATGCTTCCATTTTCTGCAAATGCAAATACCTTTTTAAGCAGATCTCTGGCTTCTTGCGTGAGGTAGGGAGGCAAATTGAGTTTACACTTGAGAATCTTGTCTATGGTTTTCTTTCTGTTCTCCCCTGTGAATGGAGGCTGAAACACACCATTGGAGTGGGAGGAAAAATAAAATATGAAAAGCTTTAGCTTCTATTTAGCCCTTCCTTTGCATACATGAAACTAATTTAAAGTTGTTTCTACTTGTGAAATAGGAAAACTGTTACTATGCATGTGATTTCCAAATATTTTCTTGGGCTATCAAAAGAGCACACTAACCACACTTAAATGAATTTAGCAACTTAAGGGGTTTTTTTTCCCCACAAATACTAAATATAGGCATGCACATAGTTTTGTCTATTTCTGTATGAAGGCACAATTAACATTAGTCACTAGTGATGCAGAACAAAAAAACTCATGCAGTTTTAACTGTGCACCTACTGCTCCAGTCAGCATGTCATACATTAATGCCCCCAAACTCCACCAGTCCACTGCACGATTATGCCCACTTCTCATCAAGATTTCAGGGGCCCTAGAATAAGCAGTGTAAGAAAAATAAAAACATTTTAACACACAGTTCAAGATCAGACTTAAGTTCTCACAATCCACATTTATATGTAAAAGTTCCAAAAAGAATGGAACATATGAACCATCAGTTAAAAAGGTAAAATTTAGCCATTACCCCCAGACCAGAGTAATACTTTTCTGTTTCATCATGCAGCTCACATGTATTCTATTGTTCCACAGAACGTGTGTGTGACTGTTCCATCATGAATAGATTCTTTACATAGTCCAAAGTCAGTCAGTTTTACGTGACCTAAAATAAATTTAAAAAAAAAGAAAGTCTAATTCTAGCACTGCACAGAATTCTGACAAGAATATTGTGTATATCAGTAACTCAACAAATATAAGTGTATAACTTACAACACAGATGATACAAATATATACAATTCCAGGGTACAGTAATAAATTATTTTTCCCCACCAGCAGCCATCAGTCATTTTATTAAAATTTTTTGGTCTGCAAGCTCTTGTCAATTAGATCACCCCTGCATAGGAAAGTGTTGCCATTCAGTGGATGGAAACAAAAATTCAAGAAAGCCATGAAGAGACTCTCAAGCCCATCTTCTAAACCACTAGAAACTCCTAACGAGCTTCTTACAGCAACTCTCCTACCTTCACATACAGAGACAGAAAATAACAAGAGACTCCTAAACAGCCTCCTGATTGTTTCCCTATGAGCAGGCAAATTTCCTTCAGTGCTCCCTCGCTGCAGGCTGTCAAAGGCTATGCAGCATTCCCTTCAATCCTTTGCAGAAGCATTTCACATTACAAAGAGTAATTCTGTTCCATAGCTAACTAAAATCTGACTTTAAGTGAGCTTCTTTTTGTTCATACAAGAATCAAGTGGTTGATTAAGGGCACAATGCAATAGGGTTTGTCATAATGCTGTATAAAGTTGTTTAATGTAGGCAGATGTACTTATCTATAGAAGATTGCAATGCAATATACAGAAGAAAGCAAATAATCTGACGTTTTACGCATACTTCCAAATTTGAAAACCAGAGTCAAAGTCACAACTTGCTTCAAGGTTAGCTTTCCTGAAACACGAAGCACTGACACACATTTACACTCAACAGTACACTGCTTAAAAGACATCCTAGGACCCTTCAATGCCAAGATTTGCTGCCACTAGTCAACAGTGTAACATGGGCTCTCGATTAGCCCAGTAACAGACTTTGCACTTGTTGGCACACTCACATAAAACGGCAACAGCTAAAAAAGTTGAACTTCATTTTTAACTGTTTGTTTTAAAAACTTAGAATGTTGTGTTACCTAAAAATTACAGAGCAGGGTTGAGCTTGGACATCAGCACCACGAGCATATCCCGCTGAAGAATGGTAAAGTCTTCAGTAGCACTGTCTTATCAGTCTTGTCCATTACTGACCAATTATTTTACCCCTTCCGACACTAGCATGGAGGGGCAGCAAGTCAAGCATTTACGTCTGTACAGGCAGATGTGTATATGGCATGGCTCGTACAAGACCCTTTCAATTCAATCTCAAAAAAGTAGGGCAAAAGAAGGACCTGTATGGCAGGACTAGAAATCAGCTAAATGTCAGCTACCTGTTTGCATGTATCAGAAGAACATAAGGACAGCAGCAGTATCTCTCACATAGATGTTCTAAGATAAAATTATCTTACAATAGGATCTGCTGTGAGAAAGGATTTTAGGAAGAATATTGACTACATAATTGTTTACTATATTTCTACCTTGATGATTAAGCATGATATTTTCTGGCTTCAGATCTCGATAGATGATTCCTTTTTGATGCAAGTGCCCCAAAGCCATTGAGATTTCTGCCAAGTAAAAGCTGAAATAAGAAGTGTGTCATACAATTAGACACGTTCAACCACACAAGGCATCTTAAACACTAGAACAATTATACACATAGGAATGAGTCACTGAATGAATTGTTAGATGTCCAGACTGGCGAGACAACAATGCCACTGAAGTTCAGTTGCCAAAGGAAAGAGGGACATGAAGAAGAACAACAGAACTAAACCATTAGCATTCCATTACTTTGGTTAGTATTAACTCTTTCAAATACTTCTGTTGCAGTCTAAAGGTGCCAGCTGTACCTGGCTGTAATCTGCACCCCCTCACCTACCCCACTCCTCTTCTCTGAATGATATAGAAGGCTGCCAACATATTACAGCACTGCCTGCAGTGTACCACTACCATCCCATATGCGGGGCTGTTTGCTTCCAATTTGCTTATAGTGTATGCACTGGGAAGTGTAGCCATCATCCTCTTTGCAAAGCGCAATCAAGAAGGCAGAACTCCAGCTCTTGGCTCGTATGCGAGATGTAGCTAGTGAGACGTAGCTTTTTTGATAATAAGAATGATCTTTTACCACTAAAATAGTACTTGTAAGAAGTAGGATAAATACATTAATCCCATCACTTCTAGAAGTGAACTGCAGCTGCTAGAATCTACAAACTTTTATGCAGTGCACCTAAACCAAGGTTTTTAAATTTAAGGAGAGTTCCATAAAATTCAGGTGCTGACAGTTTTGCTCCACCACCTCAAGCACCTTTCCACCATGAATATATGCATGGAGAAAGCCTCAGACTTCAGTTGGGCAGGCAGTGAACTCCTTCAGGGACTGTGAAGTCACTCCAACACAAACTGGTAAGAGGTCAAGAATGACAAGGCACACTAAACTTCTGTCTCCTCCAAAGACTCAGCGGGTTACTCAGTTCAATCAGACAATGGAAAACATAAGTATTTCTCATTCTATTACATCATAAAAGCATCATTTTTGTCTCACATACCAAGCTGTGTCCTCCATAAATATCCCTTCTCTTTCTAACTGCATAAATAGTTCTCCTCCTACGGTGAGGGAAGAGAGACATTAGAAATAAAAATCTGTTTTTCTGTTATGCTGCTATAGAAAGTTCAATCATCCACTTCTAATTATAATCAAAGAATTTTATGCCCCCTTAGTAAAAGCACAGACAATAGCTACTGGAATTCAGTTCTGTAGAAAGCCATTTTAAACAGAGTTAGGAATCAGATTTAAAAAATGGGGCCAGATACCTTTGGCAGAGGAACTGTCAATTAGGAATCAAAGCAGGATGCTGGAGACAGCATTACTGGTCTTTGATCCTAGCTCTTCCGCAGGGTCACTTTGCCACCTTGAGCAAATTACTTAACCTCTGTGCCTCAGTTTCATTAATAGGAAAATATCACCCTTGTATTGCAATCTCGCAAAGAATTTGCAGTGACTAACATTAGAGATCCTCAAATGAAAGGCATTGTGAATCCAATTTGCAGTCCTAAGTCTCCCACTTACCAAACGCTATATATCTACACAAAGGGGATCCTATATATACAAAAGGATTATTGATCTGGCAAAGCTATAGCAAAAAGGAATTAGACTCACTTGTATTTTCCTTTTTCAAAGCAATTCTCAAAAAGATTACAGTAAGAACCATGTTACATAGAAGGGTGATCTGAAACATTTCCTCCAATTCATTATCTTCTTACAAAGGTTCCCATTGTGTCTTCAGGTGGCAAGTGATTTGGCCCCTCTCATGGTGGCCTCTCCAGGGTACAGAAGCTACACTTCACATTATCCTGACATGCCCTTTTCTACTTTCAAGAGCACTTCTAAATTTTGACAAACTGTGCTTTTTTTTTTTTTTTTTTTTTTTTTAAAAGCGC